TAAGGGAACTTGCTCACACGCGAACCTGGAGACAACAGTCTCATAGTGGCGTCAGCGGCGTTACGTGTGTTTGTTGAGTCCTTGGTGCGGTGGTGGCACTACCTTGCGGCAGTTGCCATCATGGGGAACAGAAAAAAGCCGAGAAGGAAACAAGAGGTCCACTTCCAGGAAGAGGAGGGGGACCAACAGCAGCTCGTCGACTTCGAGCCCGAAGGGGAGGACGAAGACCAACACGTCCTAGCGTCCCCCACCGGCCCGTCGTCGCCGTCTCCATCGTCGTCGTCGTCCTCTTTGTCGGAAGACGAAGGGAATCGGTCGCACCGTTCATCGGATGATGATGATGGTGTGGATCGATTGTCGTCCTTGCAGTTGCTGGAGGGAACGTGCAAGGAGGAGGTGAAGGCTTACCTCCGAGCGTTGCGGCACAGGCGGACTCCTCCGGAGCTTTCGCCAGCTACTATCGCGTGGCAGCAGCGTCTCCTGACGGAGTCGGTGCCCGCCTCATCGTCTGTCGCAACAGCGCCAGATACGTCGTCTCGTGGAGCCTCGTCTCGTGGAACGAGTGCAACTGCACCGACATCGGTAAGTTCAAGCGTTCCGTTTTTAGCTCCGTCGTTGCCCAGGCNTGTCGCAACAGCGTCAGCTACGTCGTCTCGTGGAGCCTCGTCTCGTGGAGCGAGTGCAACTTCAACTCCAGCGGCAAGTTCATGCGTTCCGTTTTTAGCTCCGTCGTTGCCCAGGCGGACACCGTTGTCCCCTGGAGCACCATCGTTCGTTCCGTCCGCGCAGGCAACGAGTGGATCAAATCCCTCGCCGAGTCCGTCGCTCACTGCGCCCGTAAGCACGTCTACTTCGGTGTCGTGTACGTCTAGTAGTGCAACCGCAGCTATTTCAACATCCCAAGTTGCACCTGCTAGTGCGCAATCGTCCCTCGTAGAGTCACCTGTTACTTCAACAGCACAGGTTGCACTCGCGAATGCGCAATCGTCCGTCTTAGCACCACCTGTTACTTCAACGTCGCAGGTGGCATCGACTGCTGTAGCGACCGAAGCCCCCATGCGTACATTTCTGCAAGCAGCTACCGTTTCAACATCCGCGGCTGACCTCCGCAGCGTTCCCAAGCTGACTGGAGACCGTACAGAAAACGTGATCGAAATCTTGAAACATTTTCGTACGGTGGTTGGGCTGAAAGCCGCAGCCGTCAACACGGATTCGTCGTTTGCTGATGGGGTTGCACTCAAGCACGTTGCCCTGGTGGGAACAGGAGAAGTGTTGACCCTGATACAGCAGATCTTGTCTGGACAGATAGACTGTTCTAAGGCAAGCACGTTCACAGAACCGGAGGAAAAAGGGTCGTTTCCCCCTCCGACCACGTGGGATGCCATGTGTTCTGTTTTGCTTGATTCACTTCTTCCCGCAAATTCCGTGGAGGAGGAGGCACACAATCTCGCAACGTTCGTTCAAGGGCCACAGGAATCTGTTTCCTCGTATGCTCTCCGTTTCCGTACTGTCATGGCACGGTTCCAGGCTGCCGTCGAGCGTGATGGTAGTCGTACTGCTTGGAATTGCATGACAGTCGTGCTTTGGCAAAATGGGTTGACCCCTGAAGTTCGTAAGCTTCAACGGGGATACACTCCCGTGTCGTCACTCAAAGAGGCCATTTATAGAGCGCGTCGTCTTGAGGAGTCGGAACCCGTCATCACTGTTTCGGCAACTCACTCCGTATCGTCTACCACCACTCGTCCCGCGGTGGTGTTCCAGGCGCGTCCTAAACAGCAGGTGACTTTCAAGCAGTCACCCACCCTGCGTCCGCCGACACAACAGCGTGGAACACCCGCAGCTCGTGGCCGAGGTTCGGGTAGAGGTGGTGGTCAGCGTCGGCCGTCGTTCGATCCGTGCACCCACCCCTCCTGTCGGTCGCACAAGACTCACCCGATCGAGCGCTGCTGGGTGAGGATCGCGGAGGAAGAAGAGCGTCAGGGTCGTTCCGCATCGAAGCGGTCCCGTAAAGATCGTCGGCGAAAGCAGAAGGACGATTCGTCGGACTCCGAATAGGGGTGCCCAGGTGTTGTGCCCGCAATACTTGGGAAGAAATCTGCTGCTGCCGTAGTAGTTTGCAGNGAAAGAAGAAAATCTGCTGCTGCCGTAGTAGTTTGCAGTAGGGGCGTGAAAAGATCTTTTGATCATTTTGCGTCACTTGCGCGTTCGTCTATGTCGTCTAGTACTCCGAGTTATAGATCGTGTCCGAAGAGTACAAATCGACTTGTAAATAAGGCACATGCGTCCCCTGTCGTAGAACAACCACATAGAAGGTTAGAGCGTTCAGTGAACGCAGCCGATTTAGACGTGGTTGATAGAGAGTCCCCTGTGGCATCGCGTGACCGTCAGAGTGCCAAGAAAACAAGGGCCGACAGGATTGTTGCCGTACCGAAAAAAATATCGGAGCGTAAGAAGAGGAAGAGGAAGTCGGATGGAATTAAACAACGTGTTTCGTGGTACAGCTCAGCGCTGGCGCGAAAAAAACCGTCTCTGTCTCTGTCTTTTTCATCCAAACGCGTTCGCGCTTCTGGGTATGTATATCGATGGTCAATTTCTTTCTGAAATCACCGTTGATACTGCAAGTGACGTCACGTGCGTTTCACTTTCGTTTTTGAAACAGCACCCATCGTTATCATTTGCTCGTTTAGAGCCAATACCGTCTCCGTCCCTAAAACTCAGGTGCGCCAGTCAAAGTTTTAGGATTTAGTTCGTTCGTTGTTCGGTTGGGAGACGTGTCCCGCCAAATCGATGCGTTGGTCGTACCATCGCTCGGTCCTGATCAAATACTCCTAGACAATGAGGCAATGACTCGGTTTGGGGCAGTACTTGACTGGAAAAATGAACGTTTGACTTTTGAGTGTAGTGACACTATTGTCCCCGCTATTCATCGTAAAAAATCTCAACACGGTTATGATCCGTCGCCGTCCCCCCGTGTTGCAGCCGTTCATCGAAATGCGGAAGAACACTCAGTCAAATTACGTCAACGTTATAATATTCGCCCTCGTCATGCGATGNCTCAACACGGCTATGATCCGTCGCCGTCCCCCCGTGTTGCAGGCGTTCATCGAAATGCGGAGGAACACTCAGTCAAATTACGTCAACGTTATAATATTCGCCCTCGTCATGCGATGATCGTAAAAGCATTTA